TGATCCACGGATGAGTCCAGTCGGTGGCGGTAATGCACCTATAAGCTGTTTTGCCAACCGCCAATAAAACACCAAAGAAGAAGAAGAATAAGAAAAGCGGCTCAAGTTCACTAACCCGGATATTGTTTGTATACTGGGTTTCAGCAGCAGAGGGCTGCACGTATCCTAACTCTTTAATATACTTTTGCATGTTTATATCCTGTAAAGTTGTAACTGGATTGTTTTTTTGTTCTGTTTTGTATTCTGCCGGCGGTGTCTTGAGCATTTCTTGGTGTTAACGAATGTTACAGAGCGTTTGACCTTAATATAGACACACTTGCTAACAGGTAAGTTTACTGAATACTTCAGCTTTCTATATTTATATAAGTTGATTCTCCCCATAACAGTTTTTTGATCTGATGGTAGCATGTTAAACTGTTCTAAAATATGATTTCTAATGTGTAATATCATTTTTTTCTCATGATTAAGTTGCCCTGGTTGAGTTATAGCCTATGCATTAGTTGTATATGTATATTTATATTATTTATGTATATTTATATTAAAATATACGTAATTAATATAATGACTATATTATTGTAAATATTTAATCCCTCGTTACACACTAAAAATGTATTGCATATCTATTCAGTAACTTTTTGGATATGTCTGTCAACAACCTCCTTACCAGAAAATAATGAGTGACCAAGTTTAGAATATATGGGCAGCAGATTATTAGGTTTCTCTGCTCAGAATTATTACTGTCTTACTGTCTTTCCAAGAATGAAGCAAGATTGTTCTCTTTTTTTCTCTCTCTCTCGCTATGTAGGCAGAAATCAACAACATGCACCATCATTTCTTGACAACCTTTTTATTGTATTTCTGCGTTCAGGTGCTTTAGCCAGGTGAATGTTGGGAGTTCGAGCCCTGTTTGGAATCGGTCTTCTTGTGACATCACGAGGAGGCTCTGTCCTGACCCATACAGGAGCATGTGCACATATTGCCAGTAACATCTACAGTAAAGATCTCACTCACAGACAGGCTTGCACTATGGCTAATACAATCAAGTACTTGGGGTGAGTGTAAATGCACTGCATTTATTAGTATTAGGATTATCAGTATTGTTGCCTGAGCATAAACATGATTGTTTTTATGTAATCTTTCTTTTGTAGGCAAGAAGAGGCTCAGCACATTGACGAGGAGCTGTTCGATGAGTACAGCTTCAGTGTGGATCAGTTAATGGAGCTGGCCGGTCTGAGCTGTGCCACAGCTGTGTCAAAGGTACATCTGATGCTCCACCAACATGCAGAAAGGATCAAATGCATTCATTATACACATTAAAAGCAGTTTTTGCTTCGTAGGGCTATCCTCTACAATCACTGCTCAAGAGTCCACCTAGAGTTCTGGTGATCTGTGGGCCAGGAAATAATGGCGGAGATGGGTTGGTTTGTGCTAGACATCTCAAACTGTTTGTGAGTTCATGTTATACTGAAAATAAATAATTCCTTCATTAAACTTAATATTTTATGAAGATGTATTGATTTATTCATATTGTATGTGGATCTCCCAGGGATATGAGCCTTCTGTATTGTACCCAAAGCGCCCCAAAAAACAGCTGTTCCAGAATCTTACCACCCAGTGTGAGAAGATGGATATATCCTTCCTGACAGAGATGCTTGAGGTACAACACAAACCCCAGCGGTCAATACCACATCTTTCACACTGTAGGGGGGCCAGATGTTTTTAGCCCTCATATGGGTTCTTCCTTCTCATTAATATATGATCAAATAATGTGCTAAATGCCATGAATGTACCAGCTGCTCAAGCTATGCACAACAAGCTGACATTTTAATGTTTCATATTTTTACCTTTATGTAAAAAAAAAAAGGATTTTGTACTTTGTTTTTGTATATGTGACCCTGGACCACAAAACCAGTTTTAGGTCGCTGGGGTATATTTGTAGCAATAGCCAAAAAAACTTTTTGCACCGTCAGATTCCAGATTTTCAGATTTTCCAAATATTGTCCTATCCTAACGAACCATATATCAGTGGAAAGCTTATTTATTCAGCTTTCAGATGATGTATAAATCTCAATTTCAAAAAATTGACACTTATGACTGGTTTTGTGGTCCAGGGTCACATATGTACTCTACCGTTTAAAAGTTTGGGGTCAGTAAGATTTTTCAAAGTAATTATTTATTTATTATTTAGGATTATTCCAAACAGATGCATTAAATTGATGAAAATGTACAAAAAAAAATGGTTACAAAATAATTGCTGTTCATTTGAACTTTCTCTTCACCAAAAAATCCTAAAAAAGTATTACTGTTTCCACAAAAATATCAGTAGCACAACTATTATTGTAACTATTATATTACAATTTTACTGAATTTTTGATTAAATAATTGTAGCTTTGGTGAGCATAAGAGATGGGTTTTTTTTTTTTAAACAGTAATGTATCTTACAACCCTAAGTGTTTGAACGGCAGTGTATGTGTTTGATATGTGTAACAGTTGTGTATTTCCCCATCATGCTGTCTTTAGGCTGATGTGATTGATGAAGTGTATAATTTGGTGGTGGACGCCATCTTTGGATTCAGTTTTAAGGGTGCGGTGCGAGAGCCGTTCGGTGACATCCTCTCCCAACTAAAGAAAATCACTGTGCCCATTGCTAGCGTTGACATACCTTCAGGTGAGAACACACAAATAATCACTGATTTAATTGCAATCTAAGCATTTAGTAGAAAAAAAACATTGGGTTTTTTTGATCTTTGTGATTAGCATTTATGAGCCAACAAGCATCTTTTATTGAATAAAATGCCTCGTAACAGTAAGTCGACTAGTGTATCAGAAATATCTTCTGATTGTGTCATTTCTTTCATTTATTAGGTTGGGATGTGGAAAATGGCTGTCCTGATGGGATTCAGCCTGACATGCTCATCTCCCTCACGGCCCCTAAGAAAGCAGCTAGTCACTTCAAAGGACGCTACCACTTCCTGGGAGGACGATTCGTTCCTCCTGCACTTGAGCAGAAGTACCAACTGAATCTGCCTCAATACCCAGGCACTGACTGTGTTCATCAGTTGAACTGAGCATTAAGTCATTTTTGTGTCACTAATTAAAAAAAAAAAATCCCTGGGTTATAACTTTGATTTACCACTCTGAATACTTTTTCAACTTTTCTCGAAATGGGTAGATATGGACTTGATTAATCAGCGTCAGTCAGTAATCGTGAAACTTCTTATTTGCAAGGATTGTTACAGAATGTTTCAGAGAAATCGCTCTAATTAGTTATGTATGAATTTATAAAAACATCAAATTCAAATAAATAAATATTTAATTAAAGTTTTTGGTGGTTATGGATTTAATGACTAAGCCTGAATAATTGCTGCATTATTGTTTCGTGTTTGAATATAATAATGTTACATATTTACATATGGAAACATGTAACATTCCAAATGGCATAAAAATACAAAAATAAATAAATAAAGCTATAACGCTATGTTAAGGAATATTTTTATAGACAAACAAGTCAGCACACACTCGGGCAGTTGTGTAGGACAAAGAAATGAAGTCCCAATTCCGTATATATTTATTAACACAGCACCTTTTTCATGCCTGAATAAGGTGTTGTAAAAGGGTTAGTTCACCCAAAAATGAAAATTAGCCCATAAATTACTCACCCTCAAGGCATCCTAGGTGTATACGACTTTCTTCACTGGATATTTTTCTTACAAAAACGCATCGATTCGCTACAGGAGGACTTTGTTCACCCCCCCGCAGCCGTGTGAGACACTTTTTTATTATGGATGGGCGCTTTTTATTTCACTTCTTCTGGACTGAAGCACTGTAACACCCGCTGACTGCCATTAAACAACTTGAAAGATCAAAGACAATTTTTAATACAAGTCCGACTGGATTCGTCTGAAAGAAGAAAGTCATATACACCTAGGATGCCTTGAGGGTGAGTAATTTATGGGCTAATTTTCATTTTTGGGTGAACTAACCCTTTAAGACTAAAATATTGCTGTTTCATTAAATATAATGAATTTTGCAAGCTGCAGCAGTGTACAGAGCATCTTCCAATTTCTATAATGGACATTTTTTCTTGCACACAAGAAAAATCCATAAGATTCTTTCCATGAGAAATATCTAATTGTATCTAATATATCATAGATCAGCCCAAGATGTTATTTACTTTGTTTAAAGATTGAGTGGTTTATATTTTTACCTGTAGTTTATAGACCCGAAATCTGCACTGAAATAGAAATTTTGTTCATTTCACACCATATAAATAGCTTTATAATACAGCATAACCCACTTGTGTTTCATTCAAAGTAATTAAAATTCATGTCTAGTCATAATTGCCAAAAACACATCTTATCTTACATTATCAGTTTCAACTGTTTACATCTTTTAAAAGTAAAAAAACAAGCCACAAAACAATAATGCTTAAAATGTGGGTCCCTCCCATTTTGCTCACTGATATGAACATCCACTGAGGGTCAAGTATGAAGAAATGCCTCCATGCAGGTATGACATGATCCATGTCACAGATAAATGTCTTGGTTTTCTCTTGATGCCTTTGTCTGGATGTTCATTCATCTGTTCAGGAGCTGCAGCAGGACCGTCTCTCCTCATTAAACTCGCTGGAGGGGCCCAGAGTCACCGCGCTGATCGAGCCTCTGGTAACCTCTTTACTAGCAACTTTCTTGTGTATTGCTGATGAAGGAAACATAAATCAACACTGTCTTTATGCATTTAAAGTCAGTTCAAATCTAGAAGGTTTTTAAACCAAAAGAGGTATAAACTGGTTATGAAGTATTAAATAATTATGATTTTTAAACGTTTTGAAATAAGTCTCATGCTCAGCAAGGCTTAATTTATTTGATCAAAAATACAGTAAAAACTGAACTAAAACTTAAAAGAACTTAGATTAGAATGAGTTCTATTCGGAAAGGATCAGGTGACACTGAAGTCTGGAGAAATTATGAAAATTCAGCTTTGCATCACAGGAATAAATTACATTTCAAAATATATTAAAATAGAAAACAATTATTTTAAATGGTAATATTTCATAATTTGACTGTTTTACTGTATTTTTGATCAGATAAATGCAGCCTTGGTGAACACACTGTAAAAAATCTTAATTATTCCAAACTTTTGCTTGTCAGTGTAAATCCTATAAATCTTGCTGTGATTCAATGTTAATCAGTGACTTAAAGTAAAAAGCAAACTCACCTGTTAGAACTTCAAGGAAGGCAGATTCGACATTAGTTGACTCTAATGCGGACGTCTCCATAAAAAGTAAGCCTTTGGCCTCTGTTTTATCAAATAAATAAACAAACCATAAAAGGGAATTAAAATAGAAAAATAAAGGTGAAAGCTCATTCAAAAATGAAAATTCTCACACTCATGTCATACTAAACCTTTCTTTCTTCTGTGGAACACAAAAGAAGATATTTTGAAGAATGTCTAAACAACATTAGACCCCATTAACTTTCATTGTACATGCAAAAAAAAAAAAAAAAATCTAAATGTCATCTTTCGTGCTCGGCAGAAGACAGAAAGTTGCACAGGTTTGGAATAGCATCATTTAAGGCACATGTCAAACTCCGGTCCTGGGGGTCCACTGTCCTGTAGAGTGTAGTTTCAAAACCCCTGCCTGGAAGTTTTCTAGTAATCCTGAAGACCTTGAGTAGCTGGTTTAGGCTTGTTTAATTAGGGTTGGAGCGAAACCCTGCAGAAGAGTGGACCTTCAGGAAGTGAATCTGACATCCCTAATTTAAGGGCTTAAGTCTCAATCTAAGTCTAAAACAAAGATTTATGAAATGCATTGACACCTGCAAAGTCCTTCGCCTCCTCTGTTGGCACAGTGCGTACATTTCCCAGGTCACTTTTATTTCCCACAAGCATGACTACTATGTGAGGATCAGCGTGGTCATACAGCTCCTTCAGCCATCGCTCGACATTCTCATACGTCAGGTGCTTGGTGATGTCATAAACCAGCAGCGCACCCACGGCTCCCCTGTAATAACTACAAAGAACCAAACTATTTATTATTACATATGCAGAAACAAGAAGTGGATATTGGCTAAAATTGTACTTTATGATTCATTACTTTGTTTAAAATGAGAAAGGTCCTTTTTCATAATCATAACCTAACATAATGCATTAATTTTCACAGGTATTCACATAAGATAAAAGTTTTTTTCAGAAGTGAATACTTTTATTTTGTAAGTATGCATTAAAAAGTGACAAATAAGAAATTTATAATAATATAAAACATCAGTTTCAAATAAATTGTTCTTTTGAATGTTCTATTTAACAAAGAATACTGAAAAAAAGACACAACATTAAACAAAGTTGTTTTCAGTATTATTGATAATAATGAGAAATATTTCTTGAGCAGCAAATCAGCGTATTAGAATGATTTCTGAAGAATCATGTGACACTGAAGACTGGAGTGATGATGCTGAAAAGTCAGGAATAAATTACATTTTAAATCATTATTATTTAAAATAAGCTAAAAAAAATGATACTGTAATTGTGATCAAATAAATCAGCCTTGGTGAGCATAAGGGACAAAAATCTTACAGAACCCAAATTTCTAAATGGTAGTCTTGATGCAGCATCTATTGTAATAGTTCACTATTTGCTCTCATGATAATTATACTTAAAATATAATATAATTATCCCCTGTGTGTAGTTGTGGCTCTCAAAAAGCACTTTGGATACTTAACATGCACTGTATGAATGTTACTACAGTGACATAAAATCTCAAAACCAATGACAAACAATTTATCCAACAGCAAAAGAGTAAAAAGTAACCTAAATGCTTGTTGTTAGGGCAACTGTAGATGTCAGTCACATGTCAGTTATACTTTTAACTGTTTCCCAGACTAAAAAAGGAGTGGTTCTGGGTGTGATGCTAAATCAATCACTAGGAATTCCACAGCCGGCATTATCCTAAATAAGGATTCATGTGAACGTGCATAGATCAGATATATCCTTAGGATTAAAGAATATATATTTTGAGATGAGGAAATGTGTGACTTACGCTGAGGTAATCGCCCTGTAGCGCTCTAGACCTGCAGTGTCCCAGATCTGGGCCTTGATGGTAATACTATCCACTTGAATGGAGCGAGTGCTGAATTCCACTCCAATGGTTGTACGGCTGTCATGATTGAACTCGTTTTTGGTAAATCTGGACAGTAGGTTGCTCTTTCCAACCCCTGATTCTCCAATTAAAACCACTGAAAGACAACAAAAACCTTTTAGCTGACTTTAATTGATTGAGTTTTTATTCTAATTGACAAAATTAATAGCTACAATTCATCCCTCTAATAGAAACACAGGAAAAAAGGGTGACAAGACCAAATAACCAATTTATTAAATGTTTTATATGCTAAAGATTATTATTATTATCATTCAGACCGTAAAAACTGCCTGAGATCAAATCTGATCTCTAGTCAACTGATTCAAACTTACCTTTGAAGACAAAGTTGTAGGCTAAATCTGTCCCCATGTTCACCCTAGCAGTAATGTGTCAGTCTGTATGCTTACGTGTTACTCTAGCTCGAAATCCACTGGGAGGAGAAAAGCAGATGCTCAGGTTTCTGAAAAGCTTTATCGATCCATTCTTGTGCTGGTCTAAAGGCAGATTCCACACGGCCAGACTCTTCTTTGAGACAGGGTGAGAGAGCAGGAGAAACAGGTCGAACCACTGACACACAATGGGAGTGACTTCACACTCTCACACAAAACTGTTAAACCACAGTTCTTTCTCAGTCCAACAGTACATGTATCCAGTTTGTATGTCTGTAAACCAGACATACAGCTGAGTCATAAAACCAGCTGTCCTGTATCAACATAGCTACTTTTCAAACCTGTCACATTCACAACTTCGCTGACAGATTCAGTTTCTGCAAGCATAAAATAAAAGGGTTCACTTAATATGCTTATAAGCAGGGATGTATTATTTCAATAAAAACGCAAATTAACTTTATTTTGATGCAGATTTACCTGTTTGTTTCATATTTGGCTGGTAAATCACATTACATGTCAGTATTCTTGCTTAATGATGGGTACATACAGCTCATGGTTATATTAATAAACTGCATGTTTGATT